ACTGAAAAAATTGTTTTAAACCTTAGATAGAACTTAAGAAAAATTATGTTTTCGCAAAGTAACTCCAAAATCTCGATTGCTGACGGGACTGAGCTTCATTCTCACAAGTACTTATAATTACTCACAAAAATCAGTAATCAGATCACTGAACCCATTTTCGGGTATTTATGTACCCGAAAATAATCGGGTTTTTAGCAGATATGAAAATCTATATCCGATCCAACCCGAACTAGCTCAAAGGATTAAATATAGGCATTCGGCTACTTGGGTCAGGTGCGGGTAAAAATCGTTCGGGTTAAGTCTCGGGTAGGGAAATTTAAGACCCAATAGAATAAATCTAAAATTTTGATTCTTATATTTCCATGTTCAGATTAGATCGACTATAGATTTTCATACCCGCTAAAAACTCAATTATTTTTGGTACATAGGTCCTGTTATTTTCAAAGTCGCACTATTCTACCTGCGATTTCTTCGGGAGCAAACCATATATTGTAATTACAAGTATTTTAAAGGGTAAAATGTAAATTTTGTCAATTCTCAGTCAAAATTCTTAATTTTCTTTTTCTAGTTTTCTATACTTCGTCTTCTTTGGAGATCTGTATTAATGGAGCGACGATCGCAACTTCAAAATTATTGTGTAGGTGTTGTTGCTAATTAATCTGGCAACTCTGAAATTTTGAAATGTAAATAGCAGAGACTGAAATAAAAGAAGAAAGAGGAAGAACGGAAAGAAAAGTACGAGCATTTTTCTGGTCACGTAGCATTATCGCGGCGACTAGTTCCCAAACACGCCCATAAATAGCCAAAATTTTGACCGGAATACCTCTCGGTCAATGGTAAACTTAGGGGACAATGCCATTGTATCAACATCCAATCATGCCATTTTATTCGTATTAAAACGTAAGATATAAGATTTAGTTAAGTTTAGTAAACGCTCTTTCTTTCTTTTTTGTTAAGGTAACTATATTTATAAAACACAAACAAAAAGGTTGTCACGATAGATGTGACATAGAGATATCTAATCTTCTTGCAAATCAGATTCCCATGACAACATGTCTTCTACAACACTTCTCTTGTCGAATGTTCAGAATTTAATGTCCCATCTCTAATGTATTTAACTTCTCATGAGTTGTAATTACATCTATATTGTCTTCCTCTCCCATCTGTCGGACCAAAATATGAAGTGTCGTCCGCGACTTTCTTCTCCAATTCTTTTTTTATACTACAAATGTTATGGTAATGGTTTTGGTCTATTGGTCTTGGTCTAGGTCTATGCAAAGCTCTAGAAAGTGTTAAATTCTGATAAGATCAATGGATAAGTGTCTCAATCGTTTACTTGTCTATAGTGGCCGCCTAAGTGCCATTTAGATTAGATGTACATATAGAGAATTTAGTGAAAACAAAAGAACTAAGTATCACTCTATTCATTTTTAAAACCTCTAACTACAAATTAATGAAATTTATATATATTCTCTTCATTTTTTCGTTAAAGGCCAATTTTTATTAGAAAAATAGAACAAAATTTCATATATATATAATTACCTTTTATCTCTTCTTTTTTCGCCACGTCAGCACTACATCATCTGCCACATAAGCATATCTTTTTAATTTTCTTAAATTGGTTTAGAATTATAAAACTCTACTTTTTTAATTTTTATCCTCTATGTCATTTTATCTTTCTTCCACATCATAATTTAATCTTTATTTATTATATTCAATAGTGGTCTTAGACAATAAGTAATTTGTGAAGTGATTTTAGTCTAGTGGCAAATGATAAGTTCACTGATAGACATGCACCATCACACCAGGGATCGAGTCCCGCTCCCTACATATTTGTAGGGATTAGGCTAATGGACCGGCCAGTTGTGGTCCAATGTTTATAAAAAAGAAAAAGAAAATAAGTAATATAATAACAAAATTCTATGGCGGAACTAAATAAAACAAGTAGTATTGAAAATGATGAATATGTAGGATGCATCTAAGCACCTAAGCACTTCGATCCCATTATACTGGAAGAAGTAATCGAACCACCTAATCCTAGTTATCAACAATGCACAATACTAAATTAATTATAAGATTTATGAAGTAACCATGTAACCTTGAATGTGTGGGTTCGTCCTTGAAAGGGAAATCACCTCTCAATGAAAAAATAAATACTCAAAGCATTATTACATCAATGGTGTGTAGAAGGAATACTAGTTTTGCCACTCTAGAGTGCACATGTATCTCTTGTGTAGACGGGCAACAAGTGTACAATCTTAACACTATATATTTCTCGGATTCCTTGTATCTAAATCCTTAAAACTGTGTCTTAAGAATATTACCCTAAATACCATTTAATTGAAAATAAATCCCTTATTTCATTATAGAGACAAATAGAAACATCTAAATATACTTAAACTATAGGAATTCCCACATACTTTCTTACATCTTGGCGATGAAAAATATTTCTTACGAGCTGTTTTGTTACTTAAGCGTGAGGGACGTTATGTTCTCGTAATGTTCCAAATGAATTCCATTATTAATTTCATAGTGCAGGTTCATCTACTCTACAATAGTCAACTTTTACTATTTTTTTTTAATAACTAAGAGGTTTGAGACCGAATTTCATACATCTTTTAAGACTCAAAACCAAAACATGTTATATAATTTAGTTCCAAACACTATTCGAATCGACGACCTTTCAACTTTTACTATTTTGAGTAGTTATAACTAAAATGTTGTATGAAAATAATTTATATGATGATACAAATGGTCAAGTCAACGAAAATATCTTAAGAAATTTCGAACATATTAAACCAGCTGTCAAATATACAAAAACAAATATCATCTTATAACCAATAGTCAACTAAAATGTTTAGGGACCCAATAACAAAAAAGTAGTCGAGTCGTTTCATTCTCCACTATTGAAATGGACATAACATACACGAGGAGTGTAACAATTGGTTTGACAAGACTGTCCGAATGATAGTGAAAAATCTAAAAAACATAGTGACATGTTATATTCAAAGTACTGTCACAAACGAATGATCAAGTCCCATGAGATTTAACACGTTCACCAATCAAGATACAATCAATCTTTCTTTATGAAAATATTCTCTTATCTATCTATCTTTTCCAACAAAATCATGCCACCTCTCCTTTGTAATTTCTTTGTTGCTTTTGTTGAAAGCAAGACTCCTATTGCTTTTTATCTCTAAAATAACTTTGCTTTATATAACTAGACACTTTCATGTTTATTTTGGAAAGCAAAGTCTTCATTTTCTTACTATTTATGTTTTAGATAAGCACCGATGTTTACTAGCATTAAGATTCTTGTAAACCTTCTTTTGTATGGCTGATATTTTTTTCTTTCCAAATGGTTCTTGAAAAATATATAACTCATGAAATCACTGACCAAAATGTGCTTTTGTCCATTGCTTTATCCATTATATAGGAAGTGATTTTTGTTGTTTGACCTGAAACGAATTGTTCACATTTTGCTATGTGTATTCAGCGGTAGTTTCCGGGGCAATTTGCAGCGAATCAGAGAAAAATAAAAAAGGATTAACGCATAATAATTGTAATCTAATTTTTTGACAAGAGCTAGAGATTTTTTTTAGGGGGAATTTCAAAAATACCCCTTTTCATATACCTCTTTTTAAAAATACCCCCTTTCAAACTTTATCAAAAAAACCCACTAAAAATGTTGAAATTTATCCAAATATGTGTGTAACCTTATAAATAATACACAAATTACATTTATATGTGTATAAAACTTTATATATCTTTCATAAATAGCGTAAAATTAAATTATAAAAACCTTATAAAAACCTTATAAAAACCGTATAAACCCTTTTAAAAACCTTTTAAAAACCTTATAAAACTTATAAAACGATTTAAAACTATTTAAAACATTTTAAAATATTTGTATCGAATCTCCCAGTAGTAGTTATTATATAGAAGTACCTTATAAACTATATAAAACTTTATAATTTTTTATATTTAAAAAGGGGTATTTTTTAAAATGGATAGATAAAGGGGATATTTTTAAAAAGGGGTACACCAAAAGGGGTATTTCTCAAAAATTCTCTTCTTTTTACGAGTCGTCATTTTCTATCTAAAGTTTAGAACAACAGTTTCATGAAATAATCTTTTTTATATAAAAGGGTTTTAGATATAATATTTCCTTGTATTGTAGAAATTCAAACCTTTTTATATATAACATTTACACGGTTTTTTTTTTTGTTAAGTAATTTATTTCGTTTACTTAATTGATTTAATTTATCGAAAAAATTGATGTTACTTGTTAACTTATTTATTTTATACCTTTAAATAGTTCTTGGCTCGTTTGAGTATTTTTTTTAAATGATGTTACCACACAAAAACACATATATATCTATATATATATACATTTTGATCCGGATATTACCTCGAAGAGATAGATATATGTGTTTTTAATATATACTTAACCACATAAAGTTAATTATATCCATATTCATCCTTTAATGGTTTATGTATTTTTTGAAAATTCTGTAGTTTAAATGACATATGCAGTAGCAAACAATACTGATAAAAAAAAAACCAACTCTTATCGTTTTTTTTGTCTATACCGAATTAAAAAGAAACAGATATTGAACATGTACAAGTTTGGATTACGAATTTTTAATAGCATTTCTAATAATTACGTTTATAAACATAACACCGCATGTACGTAATATATTGTAAACATGATAGTAAACATAATTTTTGAAATCAATCCCGCACGTATGTGCGGGTCCGAATCTAGTATATATTAAGTTGTTCAAAGATTTATGTTTGCATTTAAGTTATTAATTCAGTAATTTAATACTTTAATCAGTAGCTAAATGATGAACTCAAAAGTATATAGGACTAAACGCAATTTCTATATATTGCATCAGAAGGAAAAAAAAACTGAAATACACGTAAAGTATTAAAAATATAACATTTTATTTTCATGTAGAATATTAGTATAAAATATCACATCACACACCATATAATTAAAACTAAAAACCACACTCATTTTTCTCCCCCTCTCATTTATTACATACATATAAAATTACTATGGTCATCACCAGCTTTCGTTTTACTCGTATTATAAATTGGTTATTATAAAATACTATAGTTGCATAATTAATATCTCCTCATCAGAGTATGCAATATCAATTGGTTATAAAGGTAGAACGTAGAAGCCATCTAACTTCTTCTTCCTCCGCAACCACTCTCCCTCTGACAATTGAAGAAAACCGCGGCCACGGGCAGGCCGAGGTTGTAGATCTCCGTGAACTCGCGGGTGTTGAAGTTCTGGCGCCACCCTGGTGCGTAAACTGTTTGCCTCCCAAGCTGTCGAAACAATGTCATCACAACACGGTGGATTCCCGCAGATGGACTTGGATTTTCATAACACACAATCTCATTACCTAGAAACAAAATCAAAAACATTAGAATTTTTCTTCTTGTAATCTTTGTCTTTATTACATGTATGCTAACTCTTTCTATATTTGTACTACCTAATTAAGGATTATAGAGTAAAACTCACCAAAGGTTGTTCCTGTTGTAGCAGGGATATCAGTGACCAACCTGTAATGATCAGAGTTATCCATACAAATTTATAAGCCATATTGCACCAAAACCTTAAGGTTAATATTTAAATTTAGTCTTTGAAAGGTTTCATTTGGTGCATGCACATGTAAAAAGTGATCCTAGGAACAGAAAATGTGATTTGACCCATGAAAATAGAAAGAGATGATGTATTATTATGTGGTAGTTGTGAGATATAACAGTAAACCTAGTGCATGCTGATCACTTCAAGTCACAATTAGATCATCAAAGACACGTCAACTTGCTATTTCAAGGCCAAGCATGTTTCGTACAAACACTAGCTAGTTGAAACTTTAATCGAATCATAGTACAAGTGATCATGTACTCCTATATATACTTTAATCGAATCTACTATGTGGTTCAGTAAAACATATACACAAACAGTGAAATTGATTTATATGTGACGTTGAGTGCACTAAGGCTAGCTATATATATGTTACCAGTGGAGATATTCTCGGAGGTGAGGGTTGCTAGGACTTGGAACATCTGGATCCACCATGACCTTCATTAAACAAATAAGAAAACGAATAAGAAAAAGATAAGATAAGATTTATCATTCTCTTAAAGTGATAAAGAAAGCAAAAGCTCTTTTGTTTTTTTTCTTTCTTTTTAATTTTGAGGAATTAGATTACACGAGAAAGAAGAAGAAATGTATAAATAGAAAGAGGTAATAGCTAAAATGACTATATATAGCTAGTAGCTTTTTGTAATGTATATATAGTGCGTTCGTTTTTCTTGAATATCCTTTTTCAAACAGTCATCAAATATTCCAAAATAAAGATTCATCAATATATATAGTTTTTAAAGAACATAATTTTTTTATTATTATATATTTTTGCATATTCGAACCCCAGATGTTTCTGCCTTTTAAAAAGTATCGAATAATAAAAAAAACAATAAACCAAACGAATACAAATTAAATTGATCGGGAGGAACAAAGTAAAATCCCAATATTCTTACACAAAATGAAAACCAATTATGCAAGAAGATGGTTGGAAAAAAACATCTAGAATTTAAATATGAAGCCAAGAAATAAAAAATTGTGTTCTATTATAATTTTTTTATATATAATATATTAGGATTAGATGATATATCTTATGGGTCCATCTTCATTTTCAAAAAATAATAATAGAAAAAAAATATTTACTTTTTCATTTGGGTATGAAAATTTTAAGTTAAATAAATCATAAGAAAACAGAGAAAAAGAAGAAGTGGGGCATTTAACTAAGATCTTTGCATGCCCAAGATATATTTTTCAACTAATTTAAACCAAAAAAAAAATCTTTCTAAAAAAACAAGATATAAGAAACTAAAGAAACCAAAGTGTAGAAGTTTAATTAAGTGAAAGGAGACAAAAGAGAGTTTTAAGTGAAAAAAGAACCAAAGTGTAGAAGTTCCTGAGGTCTTCTCCACCAATCTCAACTCTAGGCTTGTTCTGAACTTGAGAAGGCCTAAGATCCAAGCCATTAGTCACCTCTCTTTGGCCATAAGTAACCCTTAGAGAGATTGATCTATTGAACGGATCAAGAACATCTCCAACAACTCTGCTTACTATAAGAGGGTCTCTCACGTTTGAAGTCATCTTTTGATCTTACACAAACAAGTATGGGTTTCTTGTTTTGGACTTTGTGTTTTGTTTTGTTTTTTTGTCGTATCATATGCAAAGAGCCATGTACATATATTTATACTGTTTTCAAGATTTGCATTAAACTTGGGTTGGTGAACTCATCACCACAATCTTTTTCTTGTCTATTGATGTAGTAGAATCTAAAACTGATTCTATGTACATCCACACACTATCGTCTTAATATATTTTTCATATTTTTTTTTTTATATATTTATGTTTGTGGTATTGCACACTGTTAGACTGGTAATATTCCAAATTATAATATCTCCCACTTGATAGCCAATAATATTTGATTTATATATTTCATTCAATCGGATACCTCTCTCGACAATATACTTTCTACCCTATATTAAATTCAGGCTAGAAAGAATTAGAAGAGAAAGGAATGTAAAAGGGTCTAACAAATTGCATGTTACCATTTGAAATTCGGGTTTATTCTAATCGTGAACAGTAAACGCGATTTAACTCGTTAAATCATAATTAATTGAATTTGGTTAACTTGGGAAGAATTTTATAGATTTGGTGAAATTATGAAGTTTATAGTTAACTAGTTAGTTGCCCGCGCTACGCGCGAAAGTTTTATTACGTAGTTTATAAGTAATTGATTCATATTTTATTTCGTACTTATTTTCTCTACTACATGATATTTTTATTTTCTATCTCATGTTGTGTTTGTATAAAAAATCTATTTCATTTTAGTTTCGATCATAGTTGAGAAATTAAGCGTGTATAGTATAAATCGATGTGTAGGCATAAACGGAAGTGTTATGCAGAGTTGCAGAAAAAATGTGTTATTAAGGCTCCCACCAAATATAGATCTAGATGATGTTAATATTATAGGTCATTTTAATATGTTGGTCCAAAAGTTGAGAATGATTTGTGCATTCGCGCGAATTGTTGTATTTTTTTTTTATTGATTTGGCGATTTGTTGTTTATTATCTATTTATTTTTGTTTGTTATGTTTTTGTTTGTTATTTTTATTTGTTATATTTGTTATATTTGTTATTTGTTTTTGTTATGTAACATACATATTAGTATAATCTACTTTATACTAATTTAACATATTTATTTTATTATAATTATTATTTGAAAGGACTTTTCATATTTGTTTTTGAAAAAACTTGTATTCATGTGTATAAATCTTTAAATTAAATGACAAAATGGTATAAATAAATAAATTATTAAAATTAAATAGTAAAATGATGTGGATGATGTTTGAAAGGACTTTTCATATTCCTTTTTGAAAACTTGTTTACATGTGTATAAATATTTAAATGAAAGAATAAAATGGTATAAATAAATTATTAAAATTAAATAGTAAAATGATGTGAATGATGATTAGTATGATGAGGTAGTTTAAGGAGAAGAGACCAAAGTTAACTTTATATATATAGATACTTAATATATATATCTTGTTAATTGAGGGGAGCGTGAAAGTATATAGTAATCATAATTAAACGTTTATAGTAAGTACAAGTAGATTGTTACATGCAACCCAAAATTAAAAAGGAAGTATCATAACTTTATTGACGTTGGGTTTAGAAGCAAAATAATATTTGATTTAGCAATCCTTTTGAGCATGAAGCGGATAAATTAGTGCTAAATGTTTGTGTGTACTACAGTTTATTTCTTACCTAAATATAATGTTATTGACAAACAATTAAACAGAGCAATTACATATCTCTTTAAATCAAAAAGTGAGAAAAGAATTTTTTGTTCGCCGGAGAAGCAGAACGTATAAGTATCGATGGTCTCTTAGGGTGTTCTTAGCTTAAGATTGATTATATATAAGAGTTATCAAATCTTAAGCTAAAAACACCCTAAGAGATCATGCAATGAAAATGCTCTAGCCTAAAAGATAGAAAATAAGAAACCATGCAATATATCATAAGTGTCATATACTCATATAGCTAGGCTTTAGGTATGATGAGGTCTTAAAAGATTGAGATGCATGCTAATTAACAAGTTGGTATAGCAAAGCTCGTTTTTGCTCTCTCTCTTGTGAATCCAAACTTAGTTGATGCTCTGATAGATTTAAGTCATTGAATCTCTCTAGCTAGCTAGTGTTGATGAGTGTTCGTACCATCTTATTGTATCTCTCAAGTCCTTATATACACTTTATAGTTGTAACGTTTCGACCGTATCGGTACGTGAGCTCATTTGTTTCCGGCCACTGATGCACGCTTGCTTAACAAACTTGTAAGACTTGTTTAGTTATTCCTATACTCAACATGGCTTTATTTCACGTGTTTTGCATTGCCACATATACAATATAAGTATTATTTTTCGATAGACATCATAGAGTATCTTCAAACCAATTTACTGTTTTACCGCATGCTAAGTATGTAAACAATTATCCCCACAATTGGCTTTCTTAAAATCAATTTATTCAATTTGTCGTCAAAAAAAAAAAACCAATTTACTTTTTTCGTTTCTTTATTGTTAGTTATTATGGTCAACAAGATCCAACTCATACACAAATTTATAGAATGTAAAACAATATAATTGATTGGATTTAAATTTCCGCGGTTTAAAAAAACACAAAAAAATGCTAAAATATGTGATGGAATTCACCTCTGTTTTTTTCATATAAATTAATCTAATACAATACAAATTATAAATGTAATTTTTAATCTAACCATATTCTAATAACTGAAGTAATTATTCTCCTTAACTAGTTAATTCTTCTGTCCAAAATGGAGTTTGAAAGTATAATTTATCATTTCAGTTAATCTTTCCAGTTTTACTAAGACTTAATCCATTTATAGACGCTGCTCCATACGCCTAAACCTTCGATTATTTATTTGTTTATCTTTTTACCATCCAAATAAATTTTATGTACATATAACCGTCGAATTTGTACTTAATTTTCGTATAGACGTAAACCATAATTTATTTCGACTACATAAATAAGTGACTTAGATAATTTCCGCTTATAAAGAAAATTAATCCTTAGATACATAGACATATAAAAAACATTTCTCTTCGAATATGAAGCACTAGATCATATGTTCATAACCACTCAGTTCTTATTAACCTTAGTGACATATTTGTTTAAGTATTGCAACTATAATTGTCATGCAATGCATGTTGATGTACAATCATGTACATAAGAAACACAAAACGTAATGTGGAGAAAATATAGGTCGTAGTCGCAGACAAGATTATATTGTTCGATACAATGAGATAGATAGATTGTTCGCCACTAGTGTTTCATTTGTTTTTCTCTTAATGTTCTAGTTTTTTTACTTATCCGATGTAGATTCTTTCTTTTTTTGGGTGTTTATTTTTTAACCTTAATTTCTAGTTTATTATTTCACTTATCTTCCTTTTGTCTTGTCTTTAACTTTCATAAAATATTTATGTTTTATCATTTTTTCTGACGCAGTTATGAATTAACCATTTTTCTTAGTGATATATATGGGTTTTGTTAGTTTGTCTAAAATTTTAAGAATTTGCAATTATTCATACTACAAAAACACGGTTAAAATAATGTTTTAACTGTTATATTTGAATTTAGTCGGTTTCATTTGTTCTTATTGGTTTAGTATTTGTTATAAAGTTATATATTTTAGCAAAATAGAAACAAATTTAACTGTTTGAAAATGGTAAATCCATAAGATTTTATTAAAAAGGTATATGCGTATGATTTATCTAAGAAAATAATTTTTTTAGTAAGAGTCTTTTTTTTATTTGGAAACAGAAATACAATTAAGCTGCGATTTTGCATGGTCTTTTGTTTATATAATCAAAAGCTTTCAAATGACATCTTTGAAAAACATATGTATATTTTGATTAATATCCCTATATTAGTAAAAGAGAAGTACACAATAGAATACGGGTCGGGTCAAAATTAAAAAATTAATCTGATTTTAACAATTGGATATTTCAAAGTTGGATATTAATTTGGGTTTGGATACATACATCGGATACTTTCCATATCTAATTTTAAGCTTATTATAAAAATATATGATTCACCGTAATCGACTGCATTGCAATAAAATTAAAATGTAATATATTGTAATCCGTTAAAGGTTATATATATGTAATTATTTCCCCCGCGCTACAGCGCGGGTCCGAATCTAGTTAAGTTATATAAAAATAACTAAGGTGAAGGTTGTGTTTTACTAAAATTAGTCAAAAGGAACGATTAATTGAATTTGTCTATCTTTTAACCATTGGATTTTCGCGTCACAGAATATATTCTAAGTTTCCTATTAAAAAAAGTTGCAAGCACATTTATGGTACTCTATATTTTTCTTAAGAAGGTTTCCACAGTGAAACTTTTTCAAAAGTTTTTTAATTGGTGAAATTAAAATAGTGTTTTCATTACAAAAAGAAGGGAAGAATGTACAACATTTTAATGACATTTTATTTCTAAATCAAGAGCATTTTGGGTATTTGATTTTTTATGATTACTTAATTAACATTACAAATATTTTATAAATTTAGTAAATATATTTAATTATATAAAGACATGAACATAACTGGTCTGAAAGAATTTTTTTATATACAAATATTACAAGATAAAAAAATCTTATATAAACAAATATTTAAATCAATGAAAATTGATTTAATATTCATTATATTCCCTATTTTCCATTAATTTTATCATTTTCGTTCACAAAACCTAAATTGGTTATGAATTCCATAATTGTTTTTTCAATGTTTTATTTAATTATACTTGAATTGTATTCATCAATTAAACTATATGAATGAATTTTGTAATGATATGTTCTGTACAACATAACTATGATCACCAAATTATTTTTGTGATTTTGATTATATAGCAATTCTTACTATATCATTGACGAAATCGAATTCTCTAGTCACTAATATGGCTAGGAGTGTGACAAAGAGAAAACTTTCTAATTCGTTACGGCTACATAATTGAATCGAAAAAGAAAGAAGATTTTAACTCTTTGGTATAATAGATGAATTTGGGTTACTCTGTTTTGGTTTCTCTTAATGAGCTTTACTCTATTTCATCACAAAACCAAAAGCAAAAGCAAA